TTGAATAGGTTCAGTAAATCTTAAAGCATGATAATTAGTAGGCGAGTAAATGAACTGAACGTTCAGTGAACTGTTCATGAACCGTGCGACGTGAAGTTCGTTTATTTATTAAATGAGCGAACATAAACAAGATTTTACGTTTGTTTAATTAAATGAACGAACACGAACAAAGGGATCGTTCGTTCATTTACGTTCGTGAACGTTCGATTATATGATTGCTTATGTTCGTTCATTTATGTTCGAACAGAGGGCAAGTTGAATGTTCTACAAAGATTATTGAAGTTGTTTGAATTTCAAGAAGATTGTTTTGTTGAACAATTAACTTTAAGACTTTATTATGTTCATATAACTTATTTATGATTTATGTATGTTTTTATCGTATTAAAAAAAATTAACTCTAAAGTTACAGATTATATTAATGAATTTTAAGTTGTTATTTGTGTTGTTTATTTTTTTTACATTTATTTGTTGTGTTTGAATAAGTTTGTTTTTGTGTTTATGTTGTTTGTTTATTGTGTTCGTTTATGTTCATTTATTTCCGTTCGTTTGTGTTCGTTTATATTCGTTTATCATTTGAATAAACGAACATGAATAAGCTATATTATTTAATGAACGAACATGAATAAAAAAATTTATTCGTTTATGTTCGTGTTCGTTTATGTTCGTTTATTTATTAAATGAACGAACATGAACATACCTCCGTTAGTACGTGTTCAATTCGTTTACAGGCCTAATAATTAGTCGGCAACACAACTTTTGCAGCTCGTCATCAATTTGCTGGCCAGTCTGTGATCAGTTGCAGGACGTACAAGATTTTCAGTGTTAACTGCTGCACTCCTACATGAAAATCATGATATCCTAGACAATATATAATAAAATATTTTGCAGATTGTAGACTTGTGGATTATAGTTATTGATTAATGTTTATTTTTTGTTCCTACCAGAGACCATTTAGCTGATGTTCTTACCAAGGCACTACCAAGAGATAGCTTGGATAAGATAGCATCCAAGCTAGGACTCTACAGTATATACTCGTCAGATTGAAGGGGAGTGTAGATTGTAGACCTGTGGATTATTAGTTATAGATTAATGTTTATTTTGTATTTATCTCTTGTTAGTTTAGTATTACTCTAAATCTTATCCTAACTAAGTGCAGATAAAGAAGGTAGTCGTGGTCATTAAGCTTGTAGCAGGTGATAGGTATTGCTGAGGTACTAATGACGGTATTTTGGTCATACCCGAAACTGATTTCTGATGAGAAAGATGGATTCATTGAGGTAGGTTTTTATATCGAAAACCTAATATGATACTATGTAGAAAATAAGAACTTTTGGTAAAGATAAATTTGTTTCTGTTCTCTTAATTTTCTGATTAAAAACGTACAGAAAGAAGCCTATTAATAAGCAAAGTACAGAGATACCTACGAGGACTAAAACCTATCTATTAATCCTATATTTTTACTTCAGAAAAGATACGACTATTACGCTAAGATGAGATAAGACTTAGAGTACATCTGCTACTGACTACTACTAAAATAAACTATTTGCACGACTCCAATCTATAGAGGCCAAAAAAAATGGAATTAATTGCATTTAATTTATGGATTTATATAAACAATTGAGGGAGCGAACTAGAAACATGAAGTTCAATCATAGAAATTATTTCTACAATCAACCAAAATAGCATCTATGATATAGTATCTGAAAGTGATCTTACTGATCTTCTTTGAAGTATTGGCAGAACTTGATCTAGATAATATTCAGGAGGGGATTTCCTTGGGACACGCATAGTGTAAGGAGGTTTTTCCATTGATCGCATGAATTTGTCAGGAACTCTTTTGACAATGGTAACATCTTTTGCAAGGTAAGAAATGAACCAGTTGACATCAAAAATGTCAACGAAGTCGCTGCATATCAGGATAGAGGAACACTTAACAAGGTAACTGAAGAGAAGGAAATTATCAATTTTGCTCAAATTCTAATAAGCTGGTTCAACTTACCTATCATCCTTCCAGTATGAATTATGATCCAATTCAGGTACCACTAGGGTTGCATTCAGGATCCGTGCAACAGCTACAGCATCTGATATCTGCATACCATAAGCAAATTATTATTTCCAAAGAAATAGAACACACCGTGATCAGTGGAAATAATAATTTTTATAGGATGCCCGAGTCTTAGAGGCACACCGGAACTCAATTAGTTCAAATCAATTAAAGCAATAAAAGTTTGCTGGCACTTAGATGAATTACATTTTTAATTGGTGAAATTACAAGATTTTCCATTAGAATATTTACCCAAAAATATAACATACTGCATGTTTCAACTTACTCCTGTTCTTTGTTGATTCAGTCCTCCACTTGCTCCAATAAGCAAATAACCATTTGATGATCTCTCACGAACAGCATCTGACATAAAGGAAGACTCAACTAACATAAGAGATTGGTTTGGTGAAACTTCAATGAAAAATGAGAATGCATTCTTTTCTAAGGTAAAATGATGGTACAGGACATCAAGTACTGAAAAGCTTATGCTAAAATGAAAATGTAGCATCAGAGCTCAGAATGAGTTAATTCCATCTGATTCCACTACTGGGAGAAACCATCCATATTTTAGTTTTAATCTTGAAAATCAACACTAATTATCTCCTTATACATAATAAACATAGCTAAACATTGTAGTCAAGATTAACTGTTGAATGTATTAACGACTTATCCATTTCAACATTATCAACTACTAATAGAAATATGGGTACCATACTGTAATGCACCTTTGCTAACCCCACAACAAAACAATTTATTGATTACTGTCAAAAGAATTTAAATCTAAAACCAAAAAGTTAAAGAGAAGCAGAGAATTTGGAACTTACAATAAGAAGAATATGAACTTCGCATAGCAAGTAAACTAACATAAACATCTAAAGCAACATTTTTTTAGCAATTGATAATAGGTTATCAACCCTAAATACAGAAAAGGACTACGGGCCACTTGAAAAGAAAGGATCGCATCATCCTGCACTTCTTTAGAGCTTCACCCAAGCAAGCAGAAGCTACCTCTATAGCTTGCCTCGTTCATCTTCCAACTCCCTCCCATGCAAAACAAACACGACAATAGACGGCAGAGAAAAAATATAAAATTTAATATTAATAAAATATTTATCAATTACCTATGTAGCAGTTTTAAAATTAATAAAAATGTCATGTCACCATAAAGTTACAGAAAAAAAAGTAGTGATCAAAAAAATTCAATGTTCAAAGTTGAGTGATTAAATTGAAAATTTTAAAAACTGAGTGACCAAAATAAAAGAGATAAGATAGTTGAGTAATGATTTGTATATTTTACCCCAGTGCCAATTTACTCGTACTTTTTTAATCTCACTCATGATAGTAAATTTTTTTTATTTTGATATTATTTTCCAAACCTAAAGAAATATAATGGTAATATTTATATATTTTATTATAATATTAAAAAAAATATTTGCATTATTTTAATAGATCATTAAGTAAATAAAAAATTATGATTTTGGGTTGGGTTGAGTTGTAAGGCCCCGTTTGGTTCAAGGAATGTTGTATTACAGGGGGAATGAAATCCTCATTCCCCCGTTTGGTTGGCCGGTAATCTCATTCCCAATAATCTTTTATTACCAACAGTGAATTTTTTGGGGTTTATTATCGGGAATGTGATTACCTCCCTTCCCTTAGATATTGTTGGATTACCGACGTTTTGGACTAAAATGCCCTTTAAAAAATTCTTTCAAAAATATCATTCTTCTGTCATTGAATAATAAAAATTCTACGAAAGTTAAATTACAAATTTATCCTTAAACTATTTTAGATTTACAAAAAAAAGTTTATAATTAAAATTTTATATGAAGTTCAGGGGCTAAAATAAAATTTTATCCTTTCATTAAACCTTTTTATCTTTTCAATTTTGTAAAAAAATTATATAAATTTTATGAATCTAAATTTTTTAAAGAAAATATATAAATTAATTATAGTGATATTATAGTAGAATTCAACTTGTTAAAAAAATAAATATATAATAAGGACAATTTGGTCAAATATACATTCCAATAATCTTTTATTCATTTAACCAAACACGGTAATCTTACATTCATGCTAAACCAACCAAACACAAAATACAACATTCCCAGTAATCATATTCCTTGGTAATTTTTTATTTCCACTGTTAATCTTACATTCCGTGAACCAAACGCACTCTAGCCCTGTTTGGTTCAAGGAATGTTGTATTACCGGGGGAATGAAATACTCGTTCCCCCGTTTGGTTGGCTGGTAATCTCATTCTCGGTAATCTTTTATTACCAACAGTGGATTTTTTTAGGGTATATTACTGAGAATGTGATTACCTCCCTTCTTTTAGGTATTGTTGGATTACCGACATTTTGGACTAAAATACCCTTAAAAAATATATTTCAAAAATATTCTTCTTCTGTCGTTGAATAATAAAAATTCTACGAAGGTTAAATTACAAATTTATCCTTAAACTATTTTAGATTTACAAAAAAAATCTATAATTAAAATTTATATGAAATTTAAGGTTAAAATAAAATTTTACCCTTTTATTAAACCTATTTATCTTTTAAATTTTGTAAAAAAAATTATATAAATTTTATGAATTTAAATTTTTAAAGAAAATATATAAATTAATTATAGTAATATTATAGTAGAATTCAACTTCTTAAAAAAATAAATATATAATAAGGACAATTTGGTTAAATATATATTCCAATAATCTTTTATTTATTTAACCAAAGACGGTAATCTTACATTCCTTCTAAACCAACCAAACACAAAATACAATATTCTCAGTAATCATATTCTCTGATAATTTTTTATTCTCATCGGTAATCTTACATTCCGAACCAAATGTAACCTAAGTGTTTTTTTTTTTCTCGTCACATACTCCTTTTGAAGCTCCAAATCTTTCTTTCCATCACTTTCTCATGCTTTTTACAAAGAAAGATAGGAATTTAGAGAGAGAGATAAACATAAAGCTTTGATCTTTGCTTGTGTTTCGTGACAATGGAGAAGCACAAATGCAAACTCTGTGCTCGAAGGTTCTCCAATGGCAGAGCTTTAGGAGGTCACATGAAAGGTCACTTAGCAAACCATCCACTGCCCCGCAAACTCAGTAACCGTACTGACTCAGATTCTTCTTCTTCGTCTTCATCAGGAGAAGAGCGAGAGAAAAGCAATGGAACCGAGTCTTTGGCTTATGGGTTAAGAGAGAATCCCAAGAAGAGTTTCAGGTTTGCTGATCCTGGATTCTCATTTGCACCTGATTCTGGGTCCGTCGTCCAAGACAGAGAGAGCGAGACCGAATCAAGAAACCCATCTCGAAGACAATCCAAGAGAAAACCCAAGATGGGTACTGTTAATAATAATGCGACAACCGACGGAATCAAGAAACTTAAGCTGTCGAGTCTACCCAGTTTGATCGACTCACCACCGACCGAGCCGGAAGCGATGAGTTCAGTTTCCGATACTTCCCTCGAAGAACATGTTGCTATGTGCCTTGTGTTGCTGTCAAGAGATGCTTGGAAAAGGAACAATGTGGAGCGGAAATCACAAAAATCAGTTGAGTCGTTGGAAGAATTGGAGCACATCGAGTTGAGCAACAAGAAAAGTGAGTTAAGCAAGAAGAAGATCAACGGGAAACATCAATGTGGGAAATGCAGCAAGGCATTTGGATCTTATGGTACATTGGATGAACATAAAAGGGTGTGTCCTGAAACTAAAATAACCGGCAAAGTTGCTGCCGCCGTTATCGGCAATGACAGCAAGAGATTTGAGTGCCCATTTTGTTGCAGAGTGTTCGGGTCGGGACAAGCACTTGGCGGTCACAAGAAATCTCATTTGCCCGCTTCAGCTTCTTCATCAAACACTGCTGCAAATTCAGGCAAATTTGACAACAATTTCATAGATCTAAACTTGCCAGCTCCATTGGAAGATGATAAGTTTAGTGTGGTATCAGATGCATAAAAATCGAATACTTGGAGGAATACTTCCAATGTATTTTCCCCTGCATTCTTCTTTTTTTTCTTTCGTCGTAGTTTGTAATATTTCTTTCATTCATGGATGAATCATGAATTCTTTCTTTTGGCTGGTGATCTTTCCTTGATCTTCATTGCTGCTGACCCACAATTCATTTGGCAAAACTTTCGAGATAATGTTATGAAAGAAATTAATTCACGAGCTAATGCACTCCCAAGATTAATTGCTCAAATAGAGTGAAATCCACAGTGTTGGCTGTAGGTCGCCATGCCTTCCGGGCGACCTACAAGGTCGCCATACACTCCGGACGACCTTGTAGGTCGCCATGCACTCCGGGCGACCTACCATTTCTCAAACAGAGAGAATGAACGTGTTGCATGGCACATGCACGTCCCAACACATAGGTCGCCATGCCCTCCGGGAGACCTTGTAGGTCGCATGCACTCCGGGCGACCTACCCTCGCTCGGCTGCCCTCGGATTCCCTCGCATAGCTCGCTCGGCTGCCCTCGCATAGCTCGCTCGGATGGCCTCGGATGCTCTCGGATAGCCTCGGTCGGATGGCCTCGGATGCCCAGCGTGTTGGGACGTGCATGGCACATGCTATCTCTTGTAGCTCGCCGGGAAGACATGGTGACCTAGTAGGTCACCCGGAAGGCATGGCGACCTACGGCCAACACTGTGGATTTCACCTTATTTGAGCAATTAATCTTGGGAGTGCTTTATCTCGTGAATTAATTTTTTCCAGAACATTATCTCGAAAGTTTTGCCTATTTGCCTTCCGGGCGACCTACTAGGTCGCCATGTCTTCTCGGCGAGCTACAAGAGATAGCATGTGCCATGCACGTCCCAACACGCTGGGCATCCGAGGCCATCCGACCGAGGCTATCCGACAGCATCCGAGGCCATCCGAACGAGCTATGCGATGGCAGCCGAGCGAGCTATGCGAGGGAATCCGAGGGCAGCCGAGTGAGGGTAGGTCGTCCGGAGTGCATGGCGACCTACAAGGTCGCCCGGAGGGCATGTCGACCTATGTGTTGGGACATGCATGTGCCATGCAACACGTTCATTCTCTCTGTTTGAGCAAGGGTAGGTCGCCCGGAGTGCATGGCGACCTACAAGGTCGCCTGGAAGGAATGGCGACCTACGGCCAACACTGTGGATTTCACTCTATTTGAGCAATTAATCTTGGGAGTGCATTAGCTCGTGAATTAATTTCTTTCATAACATTATCTCGAAAGTTTTGCCCTTCAAAATATTGTGCCATATCCTAAACCCCAAATCTTGTATTAAATCCTAAATTCCAAATCATGCCATCAAATGAATCTATACATATCGTCACACTAGCAAATAAAAGGTTTAGATTCGATTTTGGGTTTCAACATATAGACTAAGATAGAGAACATTGAAGAAGAAGACATTGACAAAATCTTGAGCGTTAAATCAAAGAGAGTTGAAATAATTGTAAAAAGTTAGGAGAGTTGAATTTTTGTATGCCTCAAAATGAACGATATATCTGAACAAAAAAGAATGAGTTATTAACAACGCTTTCGGTTATTCTTATTCGAGAATTAGTCATATCTCATTCACCATAATTTGATCAAACTTTCTTAATAAAATCCCTTCAACTTGCATATTAAGTTCAAGTATGAGGAGGGGCAAAAAAATGATCCCTTAAGCTCAAATCACCAATACAGTATTGGAGTTCATCCATATCCACTAAAAGTTGATTTTTTTTTCTAAAAGGGTTCGAGCTCTCTTCAATGTTGACTATGATATCAAAATCACCAGCTAGACACCAAAGATTTGAAACACCCCAACTTAGTTTAACTAGAAATCCAACAGAAGATGCTATAGTTATTTATCAGAACTTTATCAAATCGAATCAGAACTAAATCAAACAATCAAGCCTTCAAACAATCACCAAATATCAAATTTAGGACTAAATGTCACATATAACAAGCATGTGACGTTCAATTATACAATTACACCTCAATTTATGGACTAAAATATAACTTTTACCAATCTGAGTATGTCGATTTTGAATCCTACTAAAATTTGGCTATCAAAATTGAATTTTGAAACCCAATACCCTGAAGTTACGTACTATAATGAATAACCACATCATTTAATCATGGATAACAACAATTTCTATTCTTTGATTATATTAATCAAATAAATTAGAAACTCGTGAAATAAGCATAATAAAATATTAATTAGTGTAGGAGGAGATTAAAAAATTCCAATAAATTATCTAATAAACTTAAACATGCAAACTTTTATCTATAAAATCATAAAAATAAATAGTGATTCCTAATTCTGAACAAAAAGCATATAGTATAAATTGATAAATAAATTCAATAAAAAGAATAATAATCTAATTTAAACTTATAATTCAATCACGTGTCATTAAAAATACTTAAATATAAACAGCATATTGTTGAAAGATCATATCAAATATTTATGAAATAATCAAGGATTTATTATAAATCTTTCGTCTGATATTATGAGCAACGAAGCATTGTGCATTGAAGGCACGACATGTATATGAAATACATGGAATAGCATGAACTAAATCACCTTGATAGTAAAAGAATTGTTGATATGCTTTGAAGTCTTGGGTTCAAGCACCGTGAATGCCGGAGGTTAGAGCGTTTAATGTCAAATGGTTAAGAGTTATATTTGAATATATATTATCTTATACTTATCAAGATTAATAATAAAAAAAGAAGGGTAAACTACATGGGTGACCACTCAACTATTATCCATTTTCATTTTTACCACCGATGTTTCGATTTAGTCAATCAAACCAACCAACTATTTAAATGTTTCAATTAATATTTAACGGAAGATATGATGTAGCTGTTAAAACAATGGTATAATTTTTTTTTGTTCTCAATATTTACACATTCTATTATTTAACACTACTTTTAATTTATTTAATAAATTTAATCCTCCAATCAGGTAATGACATATGTCACCATCTAATTATTTTTTATATTAATTTTAATATATTTCATCGAAATGATTTCTCTTCCAATCATACGATGACATGTCAAGAAAATTAAACAACATAAACTGAGCATGGGGGAACTTATCTGTGTCCCCTTGAATGGAGATAAGCGACATTACCACTGGGCCAAACCACAAATATGTTAGTTTGATTCTAACATTTTACATAGAACTCGTATTAAGTTACACCTGGAAAAGAAAGAAATAAAAATAGTTTGGAGGATTCGAGCTAAGGCCATCTAAAAAGAGTTTAAAAGCACCTAAACCTCCTAACCAAGCCATAAAATTAATTACAAAATAACAAATTTTAATATATATATATATATATATATATATAATTTATTTAAAAATAAAAATGAAATTAAGTTTTTTTTTTAATTTTAAAATCAAGTTTAATTTTTAACGTTTCCGATTTATACGTGATAATTTATTGTTTTAAAAAAACCTTTAAATAAATAATTTAAAATTTATTAATCTTTTATTTTAATTAAAATTATAGTTTAAAAAATTTAATCATTTGATATTTATACGACTACAAATTATCACATATAAACAATTAAATAGTAAATTATCATACATAAATATCGAATGATTAACTTTAGAAAATATTAAATTTTGTTTTTAAATATAATTCTTAAATTTATTTTTATTTTTAACCTTATACTAATTACAGTTTAAAGTATATATATATTAAAATCTATCCAATTTGAATTAATTTTTTATATTTGGTCCAATGATTCAAGTGCTTCCCCAAACTGTTTATATTTCTTTCTTTTCCTGGCATAATTTCATATATGTTGTATATATATAATGTTGGATATAATGACATGTGTCACCGTATGATAAGAGAAAAAAATCAATTGAATTAAATAAATTAAAAATTAATAAAACATAAAAATTTATTGAATAAATTGAAATAATTATTAAATTAATAGAATGTGTAAATATTGATGATTAAAAGAATAATTATAAAAATTATTTTAACAACCACATCATCCCCTCGTTAAATATTAATAGGCCAATAGTTTGATTGAAATATTTAAATAGTTTAATGATTTGATTGATTAAATAAAAGTATATGTGGTCAAAATGAAAATAGATAATAGTTGAATGGTCACCGTGTAGTTTACTAAAAAAATACATGTAATAATTTATCTACCATCGATGCATTGATTAATTCATTAATATGAAATAATATTATATCATAAAGAATTAACTTTTTTAAATCACCCAATAAAAAATATACGATCAATAATATATAATAGTATTATTAAAGGCCAATATATAAGATTTCAATCAATATCTAATATATATAATAAACAATTATTTATAACAATTACTTATTATTTTATATTATTAAAAATAATGAAGATAGGCAAATTAAATAGAAAATTTTAAAATATTTTTTCAAAATCAATTATATATAATTTTTTTCTCTAAATTTTATATCTATAAACAAAAAGAGTAGATATCAAATAAAATTTTAATTTTAGCATATAATAAAATTATGATAATAAGATACACTAAAGTTATATTCAATGTATAGTATGCTATTCATAGTAAACATATGTATAAAAAATATTCATAATAATTGAATTTTATATTATTAAAAATAATTAATGTGTATAATAATTAATTAAGCTTAACAATATATTATTACTTGTTAATTTCTTTTGAGAAATATTATATTGTTTTCCTTCTATCTTAAAATTATAAAAGCTTCATTCAAATATATATATATATAAAAGCATAAAGAAAGAATAAATGAGCGGCGATTTTCCCAATATATCATCGTACACCATTTTTTTTCTCGATTAGGCACCGTTCAGACTATATTTCTTGATCTAACACCCTTTGTAGAAAGGCGCACCCCCTGCAGCGCGTTTAACGTTGATTTGATGCCCCTTGGGGTACGCCTTATGCTGACATGGGATACACGTGTGTATAGCGCGGCCCCTGGGGCTCGCTTTCGGCCACATAGAGTA